ACTAAGCATTTTAACTGTGGCCTGCAAAAAAAAATCTACATATACAGTGATGTAGACTCTATCTTGGCCTCACCTTCTTATTGCTTAATAAACACTCATAGTACTTCCATGTTCGTTGCTTTTCAATTGTTTCAATGTTTTTTTTTCTTTTCAGTTTCAATTACTAATAAACAATTAAAAAGACTATTACCAAGGAAATGAAGCCTGTGCTTGTGGGAGTTTGTTGAAAACAAACAAATGCTCTTTACAATGCCTTTTGAGATTATTGGCAAAATGCTTTCAGGATTTGAAGGTTTGAACTAGGCTGAATGAGCAGATGCACTCCGTGGCTCTGGGAGAAGTTGATCCTTTTGGGTGCTAAGTGACAAAAAATTGTGGAAACAAATACATGATCAGAGTGAGAGGAATGACAGTAGTCAGGAGCCGCTGAAAGAGTCACTTCAAGGTGAGACAGTGACTTGAAAACCAGTGGGAAGCCAAAGATGGAACTTATAGCAGGAGTAGGTGAGTATTAGGGAGGAAAATCGTTGTTTTTTTTTTCCGAGACACTTCAGACTGATTGCAGGGAAGAGCGATTGAGACCAGGGAGGGGAAAGAGGAGGAAATTGCAGTATAAATCAAAGATGAAAAACTGTCAAAGTTAAGTGTGAGGGTTTTATCAATAGCAGGAAGGTGCTAGTTATTAAAATGTGCCACCCAAATCTGCTCCTCTCAGGGGAGCTGGGCTGCGAGGCTAATGTGCTGGGAACAGATGGTTTTCCGTTCCCTTTCTGTACAGTGTGAAGAAGCGCTCCCTGATAGCAAGTCAACAAATACGCTGGCTTCAAAACGTATTTGGGTTCATTGGAATCTGCTCTGTGTTCTTGTACCTTTGGGCAAAATCAAAGGCAGTGCATAACTCTGGGGCTTGTACATTTCCTTTTGCATCTGGAAGAGAACGTCACAAAGATGCTAATGGAAATAAAGATCTTGTGGGCTGGTACTTTCAGCTCTCCATCTATTCCCAGCTGTTCTGGGAAAGATGTTTAATAGCAGAGAGGGTCCTGGGTCCAGCGTGGGTGGGGTACAGGGAGGTAAGCTTTTCCCTAACTCAGAACTGCAAAGTGGTTTTATTCTCTCGGGTCTGGAGGATGAGAATACTGGGATTCAAGGAGGTTCGGTAACTTGGTTTAGAGCTCAGGGCTAGTCACATCGGACTGTGATTGCAGCATTTCCCTTTGACTCCTTTCGTTTCCAAGTATCCTGTAGCTTTGCTGAACAATTGTACCCTTGATGTTTCCACCATCAACTTATACCGTCTTCCCTTGATCCTTGTTACTCAAAGTGGTTGACAATGAAGATACTTTCCTCCTTTTTTTTTGAATATTTTAGCACCTCACTAATACAGTTACAGTCTACTATCACTACTTTTCACCTTCAATGGTTGGACATTCACTTTGAGCCTTTTAACACCTTGGCCTTACACTTCCCTAACTTCTCACTTCCAATAATTTGCTAAGCCCTGTTGAGTTTCTTTTTCAAAACAGACTTTATTTTTTTAGAGCCGTTTTAGATTCACATCAAAATTGAACTGAAGGTATCAGGATTTCCCATCTAGCCTTTGTTTCCACACTTTCATAGCCCTCCCCCATGTCAATTATCCTCTACCAGAGTGATACATTTGTTATGACTGGTGAGCCGACATTGACATGCCATTGTCACTCACCGTCCCTAGTTCACTTTTGGTGGTGTGTATTCCGTGGGTTTGGACAAATGTATAATGACATGTATATCCCATAATAATATCGTACAGAATTGTTTTGCTGACCCATAATTCCTCTGTGTTCTGACTATTCATTCCTCCCTGCCCCTAGCAACAGTCAATCTTTTTACTATCGCCATAGTTTTGCCTTGTTCGGAATGTTGGCAAAATGCAATAAGTAGACTTCTCAGCTTAGCTTGTTGTACTTAGTGATAGGTATTAAAGTTTCCCTTATGTCTTCTCACAGCTGGATAGTTCATTTCTTTTTTTGTCGTAGATAATATTCTGTTGTCTTGATGTACCACGGTTTATCCGTTCGCCCGCTGAAGGAGCACTCGGGTGCTTTCAGGCTTTGGTAGTTACGACTAAAGCTGCTGTCAGCCTCTGTGTGCAGGTTTCTGTGTGCACATCAGTTTTCAACTCCTTTAAACACTGAGAAGTGTGAGCGCTGGGCTGTATGGCAAGAAGTTTTTCTGTGTGTTTGTTTGTGGTTTTGGTAAGGACCAGCCAGACTGTCCCCAGAGTGGCCCTGCACCATTTTCTGTGCCCACCAGCAGTGACTGTGAAACCCTTGCGGCATCACGCCCTCGTCAGCATCGGGTGGTGGTAGTGTTCCGGGTTGGGCTCCGGGTTGGGTTCACTGCTCTTCTCTGTCCAAGGAACGCACGAATCCTCCTCCTTGTGGACAATGTCAGCAGTATAGTTCAGCTAAAACTTTCTTTCCTGAGGACTTCTTTAGGGGTCTATTAACAATCGCCTGCCTTTAACAGGTCTCTCTCTCTTTTTCAAGTTATAAAATGCTGTCAGATTCATTTGCTAAATATTAGCTCAGGGGGTTTGCTTTCCTATCCAACAGCCAGCAGAGGCTTCTGTCTAATAAATAAAACTTCTTAGCTTGCTGTTTACAGCTCTTCCAAGAGATTATTTCAACCTACCAGTAGAACATGATTTTCTGTTACCATTACCCTTCATGTGCCCTTCGTTCCAGGCAGAACACATTTTTATTCATTTTCTGTATCAGCCTTATGTTTTCTTGCACTTTACCTCTCAGGATTTTCTCCGGCTGTTCATCGTCATTCACTGTTCTGACAACATGATATATCTAGTCAATCTCCATACAACCATCTCTTCCTCCGTGTTCCCCTTATACCTGCTCCTTCCTGCTCACCTCTCTTGCCGCTGACTGCAGGCCTGGCGGTTTTCACGTGTTTTGGTGCAGAACCTTCTTTGCTCTCCTCCCCGGGCACACACAGCCATGGAGATTTTTCTCTTGTGGAAATCTTAAGCTACTACTTTCCTGCTCGGAATCTTTTGCTTGCTCTCCATTCACTGATGCAAAAGTTTTTTAGCTTGGTATCCAAGTCATATCATGGCTTTAAAACAATTGAGATATAATTGACATCTAACATTACATTAGTTTCAGGGGTATGACATAATGCTATGATATCCGCATGCATTGCAGAATGACCACCGACATAAGTCTACATGTTACACCAACATGTTATCATACATGTTACAGCATGTTAATGGCTTACCTCTCGTACCACATCCTTTCATTGTATGCTTTTGTTCTATGTGAACATGCTAAGCTGTTGTGTGTGTACCTCTCTTTGCTTTTCTTCTACTCTCTCGGAATCATCTCTCTGCTTTGTCCACCTGGGAAACTCCTAATTCATCCTTGAACCTGCTGTTTAGACGTGCCCTTCTGAAGCTCATTCCTGAGCACCCCAAATAGTTAATCTGTCTATTTTCTAAGTGTTACAATGTTACTCGCTTCTGTGTATTTTTTTGGCTGCTCTTGTCACATTGTATTCCAATGGCTGTTTTACTTGTCTGATTTGCTCTTACCTGTGTACACCGGTCACACCTTATTCAGGTGGATTTGTATCTTTAGCACCTAACAGAATAGAGGTGCAATAAATACTTGTACAGTTACAATTTGGTTGAATTGGAATAAACCTCAGCGTACTCAGGCCCAACAGCTGCCTCAAGTCTTCTCCCAGCTCAGCATCCTTCCCACAGCAGTGCTTCCTGATTTCCTTCCTCACCCATCGTCACCCTGAACTAGAAGTGACCCCACCTGCCTCTAGATCTCCATCGCACCTGGTGTGCCCCAGGGTTTTGATACCCACAACTTGCATGTTGATGTCTAGGAGGAAATTTTTTTTCTTTCTGTCTGAATTGGCAGATGAGAAAATTTAGTTTCTCATCCTCTATCTCTTATAGTATCTAGTACATGTTCTTTGCTAATACTACAAAGCAAAGTAAATATGGGTAAAATAAATGAATTGGTGCATATGATTTTAGTGCTTATCGCATGGAAAAAGCAAAGAATTTTAGAACTCTAAGGATCTTTGATATATCTTACTCTAAAACTTTCATTTTACCCATGAGGGCATCGAGTTCAAAGAAGTCCTCCACCATATTTAAAATTTTAGTTCTTAAGGAGGAAACATTAGGATAAGAACCAAACTCTTCTGATTTCCAAGCAGTGTATTTCCATTTATACTACTCTGCCTCTTTAAGTGAATAAGATACCCATGAGTCTTTTTAATGCTTTACATGGTAATGTGTCCAACTAATGATTTAATTTTTCAATGACAATTTTGTGAATTATACAAAGATCTTTATTAGATTAGTCTTAAAAATACAATGAATTTTCCTTTGCAATACACAAAAAAATTTAAAGATTTAATAATGCCCTTCAAATCAAACCAGATTGAGGAATAAGATATAGAACTATTACAAAATGAGATTGTCATATAAACTTTTTCATTGTCATTTCTAAGAAGTGACCTTACAAAAGTAAACTACTCTTAGAACTAATTTAGAATTGCACCACACACTCAACAGCAATTTTCTTTCATGTAAAAAATCAGACAAGTATATTACTAGTCATATATATGAATATAAACCATAAATGACATCTACCTTGTTTAAGTGTCTAATTTATACAAGCAGGTTAGTTTATTAATATAGCTCTCTGACCAGTTTTGCATAAGCATTTGTGTTCATGTACTTTGCACATGTATACATACAAATGATATAAATGTACGTAGCATTCATTAGTCACAGTTGTCATTTTGCACAGATAATTTGACTCCCCCATGTGGAACACAGGCAAACCTTATAGGCATTAAAGATTAACAAAGGGGACTAAATAAGAATGTGTGGTGGTTTGTACTCTAGCAAACATTACATTCTCATGAACAACCGGAGCATAGCTTCTAACTGTCTTTTAATATTTTCTGTTTGAAAGGTAAATAAGATTTGCGGCCATCCAATCAGAACACCCACACAAAGCCCCCCTTGTTCTTTCGATGGGAGTAAACAGAAGCTTGGAATGAAGATCTCCGCAAGAAATGGCGAAGAGACACTTGCCAACAGAAGAAAGTAAGACATTTGTTTTACAACCAGAAAGAGAAGAGAAAGTAAGCCATTCATTTTACCACAGAATAGAATGCCTTCAGTTAGTAGAACAAAATAATACCATTGGAGAAACAAAAGAGACACTTTAATTACCTTTAAAATTCACTGGTTCCTTCTTATTTCATTAATTAGAAAGCTCCAACGTTTGAGGTCCATGAAAGTTTCTGTGAAAGGGGTATTTTGTTTTTCTTTTTAAAATTTAATCTCGATTGTGTTTCTTCCCATTTAGTCCCCTTTCTTCCCCTCCCCCACAGTCACCACACTGCTGTCCATGTCCATGAGTCCTTTTTTCCTTTTGATCATTCTCTCCACCCGTTAACTGCCACCACCCCTGTTGGCTGTCCTCCTCCTCCCTGTCTATGAGTCTGCAGCAGACCCTCGTCACATGATCACTGTGCACTTAAATGGTTGCCCTGCAGAGCTCTAGGACTAATCCCTTTGGCTGAACTGAAACTGTATGCCCATGCATTAGTACCTCCCCATTGCCGCCGCCTCCTGGTCAGCAGTACTGTACTGTACTAACTGGTACATTTGTTAATAGGGTATATGTCCTGGTAAGGGTTCTTGTCATAATAAAATTTAAACAAATTAAAATATAGCTAGTGTGAGTGAGGCATCAATTTTTAATTTCATTTGAACTCATGTTGTCTAAGTTCCATGTGGCCAGTGGATACTCTAAAGGACAATGTAAGACCAAAAAGAGTATCCATGTAAATAATGTGATGAATATTACCAGAAGTTAAGACTCTGTTAAAAAAATTGATATAAATAAGTTTTCATGCTTTTTACTTGGAATGCTGAAAACGGCTGACTGTTGATTCAAAATGATTTAACCTTTTGTAGCTTGCTCTCCTAACTCACATTCCTGCCACTCGGCCCATCATTTATTGCACGTGTTAAATCAAAGCCTTCATTAGTATCTCTTTGCTTAATAATTGGAAGTTACTGATAGACTCTTAAAACTGGAAGAAACTATTATTTTGCTTATTTTTGTATTCAGCTGACCAGTGTATACCCTGGAGAAGACTAGATTCTTAGTATGTGTTTGAATTGAACTGAAATTCATAGTTTTATATTCAATTATTAAATAATTATTTCTTATAATACCTTATTGAGAATTTAGTACGTTACCTAGCTTTACTCTCTGTAAGAGAAATTTGTTTCTTTCCTTTTGGGACAGTGTTTCTAATCTCCTCATTCTCTCAGGTGGGCTCACAATGGGACAAAGGCCTGGGTTATTACTAGCTATATGCTACAGCATAAAAGACTCAGCATTTTACATGCAAAGTAGCTATTCTTTTTTCTTTTTTATTAATTTAATCTTCATTGTATTCTTTTCCATTACCATTTAGTCTCCTTCTCTCTGAACAGAGTGATCAGCAATCATTTCTTGTTTTTGAGAAATTAGTATGCTTTGGCTGGGATGGTTTTTATAGTAAAACCCTGCTAAGGAAGATCTTAAGTTCTAAAGGGTCATGTCAGTCTCACCACTAAAATAAAGCAATTGTTGGAAAACCAAAGCAAAACCCAACACTTCACATGATTTATTGACTAGCAAAACTAAGCCAGTGCCCGGTGAAATGTTATAAATTGTCTCAGGAACAATGAAGGGCTCCTATGAGTGGAAAGTTTTATAAGTATTCTGGCCCTTTAATAGACCACCTTGTCACCAGTCTTGCAAACTCATGATTTCTGTGCCCTTCACCAGCCAGTTCCCACTAGCCATTGCCCCTAAATCAGGATATATCCGTCACACAAAGTGATGCCACACAGAGTGAATAACCAGAGATATTGCAAATGAGCCCACTTAACCATTTCATTTTTATGGATTTTTTATTGCCACTCCTGAATGGAGCTTAATTGCTGGGGTAGAATATTTTTTGCTCGATGCCCCAAAATTGTGCAGACCTATTCATACACTAGACCTGAATGTTACTTATCCTTCATCGTTGAATCATTCCTCACGAGGTCATCCATTTCAATTGTGGTAGGAGGGGAGATGTGGAAGGAGTAGATGCCGAGCAAGTCTGGGCTTCTTTCCATGCATCTTGGGATTTTTCCACCTACTTAGGCTAATTTCCAACAGGTCACTCCCACTTCATGATGTATATATTCACTTCCACTTCTATATACGCCTCATCTTATAGCATGGCAGGCCATTTAGCTCCTAGTTCATTATGGGCATCTCAGGTGGCAGAGTTACCTGCTAGCTCCTGGTCAAGTGCATAGTTTCCATCAGCGCCCAGTTGTAAACCTACCAACTGGTCAACCAATCATCCAACCAGCCAACCAACCAAAGAAACAAAAACAGTTTTTAGCAACAGGAGGAATGACTGCTCCAAAACCCTGGATGTCTGCACTGCATCTTCCCAGTGCTTCTACACAGCATCTATGTCACTCCAGGTACCACTGAGCAGATGAGTTGGGTCATCTGGACGCAATGTCGGAGCAGCTTCAACAATCAAACTACAGGGACTTTCATACAGAAACTCTTTGCAGCTACTTTATATGTGTGTTAGATCAGCACACCCAGTCCAAAGTACGCTGTCGCTTCAGGAGTAGCAGGTCATCTTGTTTTTAATCCTCACCTGAGGACATGCTTATTGATTTTAAAGAGAGGAGAGGGGAGGGAGAGAGAGGGGAAGAGAAAGATCGATGTGAGACAGAAACATTGATCTGCTGCCTCTCCTACACGCGTCAGTTGAGGACCTAACTTGTGACCTAGGCATGTGCTTTGACTGGGAACTGAACCCATGACCTTTCAGTTCTTGGGATGATGCTGCAGCCAACTGAGTCATACCAGCCAGGGCTGAGTGCTACATTATCTTAAGTGTAGAAATTCGCCTCTTACCTTAGAAGAATATCCCAATAAAATCCAGACTACCAGACATTTAGAAACCCCACTGAATTGTCAAATGCTAGAAGTATCAATACTTTTTCCCACCAGAGGCATGAACATGGCTAAGGCATCTGGGAGGATGTGATCGATATGTTATCAGCATGACGTCTGTAGAGATCAAGGCGTCTCTCTGTCACACAGTGGGAGAGTTGCCCTGAGGTCTCACAGTGTAGGGGTTCTTGAAGGCTGCAAATGAAGTATTCCTCATAGTCTGTGCTCATTGGTAAAGGTGTAAAAGCGTTGGCCAGATTATTAGCTAGATGGCCGGTGGCAGGACTTGTTCTGAATAACTCCAAGAGCAGACACCACATACAAAGCATGTAATTGGAGTCACCCTCTGGCTCAGTTTATGATGATCCAATGGATCCCCGAGACCACCTCCGCATACGCAGACCAGGCACATGGTGCGGTACAGGGTCACCACCAACACTGCCTTCTTCATGTCTTTGACAAAGGCCCTAATCTTAGCAACTCCCTGTGGATGTGTTACTCTTTTGTTTTACTATTACTGCTTTTGCTTTGAAGAATTCTGTAAAATCTTTAAGCCAATTTATATATTCTTGCTTTTTTCAAAATTCTCATGGATATTTGTGGAATTTATTTTTTCAAATATACTTCATAATCCTGTTCTTGAATTGGGACTGGAGTTATATTGAATAAATAGACCGATCCTAACAAAGACATGTATAGGTTACCATGTTTTTGAACTCCTTTCCAGCTGGCCTGTTGATAGGATTGGAATTTCTAAATTGATTACATGAGACTGGTTGCTATTTTTCTGAACTCTATTTTTTTAAGTTGGCCAGCTTTCGCCTTAGCAAAAAGGAATCACCACAGCCCAGAAACGCCCTCGGTGTGGACAGCTGTGTTGATGGACGTCTTGGTTTGAGTGCGCCTGTAAACGGCCCTCCCGGGAGCTTCGGGACCCTCACGGGGTCCCCGTCTGGTTCCTTAGGCGGTGATGTGCGCAAGGCCTGCTCCGGTCGCAGGGCGGCCGCGCCGTCTTCCTCATGCAGGGCCCATGTACGTCAGGGCGAGAGGCCCCGGGGGCTCGGGTCACGCAGCAGCAGGTCCAGCCCTCCTGGCCCCATGGCTCTCTGAGGTGCTGGAAAGCTCCCATCACCCCAGTGGCTTCCCAGGCTTCTCTGTGCTGTCCCCCTAACAGGCTGCCTGGATGGGCTTCTGGCTGAGTTTGGCTAATGGGCATCATCCACAGGATCTCCTAGCTGAATGGGGAGTGAGGCTGGTCATTTATTCTCCCAGCTCTCTTCTTGCAGGGACCCCTAAGCTCACTGCACCTCCATGGAGGGGCCCAGTTCCTCAGAAGGCCCTCCCATCCCCTCTCTGCCTCCAGTTCTGGAAGGCTTCCCTCTCCCTTCAGGACCTGAGCGGCGTGGGGCAGAATGCAGCTGCGTCCCGCACTGATCCGAACTCTAAGTGCAACTTTCAAAACAGTTAACGTATTACACTCTGCCAAGTTATCCCGGTTTTAATGTACTATCTACTGGGACCTTGCCTGTTTTATTTATATATTTATTTCAAATACAGTCACCAAAGATCACAGTCTTGCCGAGTCTCCCATCTGCCATCCACATTGTGGCAGCAGCTTCCTCCTAAAGGTAGCTGGTTGTCAGATGGCTGCTGGCAGTCACAGTGACTTCATGTTAAACTGAACTCCACTGTAAGGGCTGGGATGTTGTTAGGGTTGGAACTGCTACAGAAATGATCCGATGCGACACTGACTCAGCCGTCCTGGCAGGAAGCTTGCTGGTAAAATGCTTACACTCTGTGCACTTGTCTGCCTCCCTGAGCTGTATCTCAGAGGAAGCTTTTCTCGTATCCACTAGGGGCGTTCACGAATATCTGTGGTAGCTGGAAGAGGCAAGGTATCTGTTCACCACAAGCAAAATGGAAAAGTAAAATGTGAGACCATGGAACATTATGAAGCAGTCAGAAGGAAAATACAGTTATGTCAAAAATACAAAATACATTAAAAATATATTTATAATGTAATTATAAATATACAATACACTATATATAACATATTAAAATACATAATATAATA